CATTAAAAGTTTATCAAAATCTGTTTGAATACCATGAACTCAGGTTGTGTATTCTTTGATTGCCATCTGCTGGTGGTTCTCCATACTAGAGAATAAAAATTCCCAGGAAGATGGCAACCACCTGGCTATTTGATTTAAGTAGTTCTTACAGCCCCAGAGAGAATGATATTTTTAATACACATGATGATACCACAGAGCCGTGCCAAAGTTCCAGAGAGCATGCCTCTCAGAAACATATCTTGTGTAGTTGTTTCCTGGGAAGATGATTGCACGGCTACTAAGCATCATTCTAGGGCCAGTTGCTCATTCTCTCTCTTTTTTTAAAATATATTTTATTTTTTAGAGCAGTTTTAGGTTCACAGCAAAACTGAGTGGAGAAGTACAGCATTCCCATATAACCCCTGCCTCCGCATATCCGCAGCCTCCCCGACTAAATATTGGTTACAATTGATGAACCTACATTGACACATCATAATCACCCAAAGTCCCTAGTTTACATTGGGTTCACTCTTGATGCTGTACATTCTATGAGTTTGGACCATAGATGGATGATGATGTGTATTGAACATTATAGCATCATGGAGAATAGTTTCACTGCCCTAAAAATCCTCTGTGCTCTATCTGTTCATTCCTCCCTAACCCTCGACAACTACTGATCTTTTTACTGTCTCCATAGTTTTGCCTTTTCCAGAAGGACAGACAATTGGAATCATACAATATGTAGCCTCTTCAGATTCGCTTCTTTCACTCAGTAATATGCACCTAAGTTTCCTTCTTGTCTTTTCAGGAATTGATCGCTCATTTCTTTTTAGCACTGAATGATATTTCGTTGTCTGGATGCAACACAGTTTAGCCATTCACCTACTGAAGGACATCTTAGTTGCTTCCAAGTTTTGACAATTATGGATAAATCTTCTATAAACATCCATGTGCAGATTTTTGTGTGAACATAAGTTTTTAACTTACCTGGATAAATACCAAGGAGTAGAATTGTTAAATGGTCTGGTAAGAGTTGCTCATTTTTAAGAGGACCAAGTGGGCAGCACCGGCTGTGAACATCCATAGCAAGAGCACTTAACCTTTAGTCCTTGGGCCCATGATGAGCTTCAGGTGTTTAGGAATCCCACACAGATCTTACATGAACTGTTGGGTAAAGTCCATTCTTCTGGGGGCAGGGGAATGATTCATCATTTTCATCAGATGCTTAAAGAAACGTTAAAAGGAATATAGTCAAGGTGCCCACATAGGAAACATGGTTCTCTTTGCCACAGGGCATCCATTGTTAGAATTGGAATTAGAAAATAAGAAAACTAACATTCATTCATTGAGAACTTAACATGAGCCTCACTCTTAGCTCCCACATTAAAAAAAAAGGTATGATGCTAAACACATTATTGAGACATCACTAAGCTAAATAGTTTAACTTCATTACTATATCTTTTGTCTTTCAATAGCCCTATGCTGAGAGATTATTTCCAATTAAATGATGAAAGATCAGAAATATTACATTGTCCAAGTTTGTACAGCTAGTCATAGGACTGAAATTCAAATGCAGACCTGTTTAGACTCCACACTCTAATGAGAAAAACAATAATACAAAATTCCTTTATTTGATGGCTTCCATGAAGAAAGACAGAGCTGCATTCCACCTGTGTTGAAAAATGGGGCCCTGGCTCCCTCTCTGGGGGGAGACCTCGGGAACCCAACAAGAGGAAGAGAAAATGTCTGAACTAAGTGTTGAAGAGCAATAAAGACCTGGTTAGGCAGAGAGCATGGGGGAAGAGATGGAATTCCAAGGAAGGAAATAGCACATGCCATGACACAGAAGATAAGAAAGAGGCTGATTCAAAGTTCCAAGCTGGTGCTATGACGCTCATGAGAAATGAATCCTTGCCAGCTCTTGGGGCAACAGGACAAAGACCAATCATCTCTGATCTTATAAAGAAGAAAAAGGTTGTGGGTTCAATTCCTTGTAAAGGAACGTACCTAGGTTGCAGGTTCGATCCTCAATTGGGGTATGTATGAGAGGCAACTGACCGATGTTCCTCTCCACATTAATATCTCTCTTTCTATCTCTCCCTCCCTCCCCTCTCCCTGCCCTCCTCTCTCTCTAAAAAATATCTATAAACATATCCTCAGGAGAGGATTTTTTTTAAAAAAAGAAGAAATTTCAAAAGTGGATTCAAAATAAATAAACTGAACTTTATCAAAGTCAACCCATAGAATGAGAGAAAATACTTGTAAGTCATATACAAGTATCTGATATAGGACTTTTACCAGACTTATACAAAGAACTTTTACAACTCAACAATAAAAAGTCAAATAACCTAATTTTAAAAAGGGCAAAGGAGTTGGATAGACATATCTCTAAAGAGAACATACACATGGCCAATACTCGTAAGACAAGATGATCAATGTCATTAGTTATTAGGGACATGCAAATCAAAACCATAATTATATACCAGTTCATGCCCACTTGGATGGTTAAAATAAAAAAGACAATTAACTAATGTTGATGAGGATGTGAAGAAATTGTGACCCTCATACATTGTTGAAAGGATTATAAATGGTGCAAGCACTTTGAGAAAACAGTTTGACAATTCCTCAAAATGTTAAACAGAGTTTTTATATGACCTAGCAGTTCTACTCCTAGGTATATACCTAAGAGAATTGAAAACACATATCCACACAAAAATCTGCGCATGAGGGCTCGTAGGAGCATTCAGTCAAATGGTAGAAACAACCCACATGTCCATCAGCTGATGACTGGATAAACAAAATGTGGAACGATAAAAAGGAATGAAGTACTGATACATGTTATAACATGTATGAACCTTGAATTGAATGAAGCTAGTCACAAAAGACCACATGTTATATGGTTCTATGTTTATGACATACCTATCAAAAGCAAATCTATACAGACAGAAAGTAAGGTCAGGGGTTGCCCCAGGCTGGAGGGAGATGGGGGAGAATGAGGAGTGACTGGACTGGGTAAGGGTTTTTTTGGGTGATGAAATGTCCTGAGATTAGATAATGGTGATCGTTGCACAACTCTGTGAATATACTAAAACCCACTGAATTGTACACTTTAATAGGATGAATTTTATAGTACATGAATTATATCTCAATAAACCTGATGTTACCTCCCCCCCAAAAAAAACCAAAAAAGGAGGGCGGGGATCATTCCTGAAGCAGAGTTGTCCTGGGCATGGATCTGTATCAGAACAGGAAAAGCAGAAAGAAGGAACTCCTACCCTTTGTGACAGCAAGGATGGAACTGGAGAGCATTATGCTAAGTGAAATAAGCCAGGGGGCGAAAGACAAATACCATATGATCTCACCTATAAGTGGAACCTAATCAATAAAATAAACAAGCAAGCAAAATAGAACCAGAGGCAGGGAAATAAAGAACAAACAAACTGACAGTGACCAGAGGGGAGGGGGAGGGAGATAACAGGGAAAGGAAGGGGAAGGGTCAAGTCAAAGAACATGTATAAAGGACCCATGGACAAGGGCAATGGGTGGGAGGTTGAATTTGGGAGAGGGGAGTGCGTAGGGTGGGGGAGAGCAATGGGGGAAAAATGGGGACAACTGTAATTAAACAACAATAAAAAAGATTTTTAAATAAAAAACAGAAAGAAATTTAGCCATTTGTCTGTGGTTATGCAGGTAGTAAGGAGTAGAGCCAGGTTTTGAAGTTAAGCTGATCTGGAAGCCCAGGCTCTAACTTTCTATGGTACCCTGCTTTCCTCCAACTACCCTCTAGCCACATCTTTCAGCACTATGTTGTTGTACACATTCTTTAGTTCATCTCACGTCTACCTCATTGGTTTGATCTACAGTTCTTTCCACCTTTGTTTCCTCAAATGCTGCCTTTTATGCAGCTTAACAGGTTGTATAACATCCTGCTACAGGTGAGTCACAGTCACCATTCTCTTCTCTTTAGAGTATTTGCCATAACTATACACTCTTGCTGTTTTTATCTGTTGACACAAGATTTGGGGGAAGATCTATAGCTATGCAAAGTGTCGTTTATCAGCATAAGAATTGCTTGGAGCTTGTTAGAAACTTGGAGGCACACATCTCACCCCAGACCTAGTGAGTCACAACTTTCCCTTTAATAAGATCCCCAAGGGCTTCAGATGCACAGTAAAGCTGGAGAGGCACTACCTCACATAGCTCTGAGCAGAATTCCTAAAGCCATGAAGCTTTGGGAGAGTTGATCCAGTAAAGAGTTTTCAAAACTAATAGGCTGCTGGCCTTCGCAGATCAAAAGCCCTCAAGATCCCACGAACGGACCTCACCAGCCCCAACACTTAAGTGGGATATAAGTTTTCGTGGTGATAGGAGGCAACTGCAATGGGAAGAGACTGTGAAAGGTGCTTCAAGATGAAGAGGGGCTTAACTTACATAAGTGTACTGGATATAAAATTTGGCTGCCCATTGAAATCATAGGAGGAGGTGGGGAGGGAAATCCTGATAGAATTGATATAGAGAATGGCCTTGGCATTGGAAATTTCAGAAGTTCCTCAAGTAATTCCTATATGCAGCGAAGTGTGAGGAGCACTGAACTATTGTGAACACCTCCTTTTCAGTTAATATAATTCTGGGGTCTATGCTGGCTTCAGAGGTAGTTGAAAACAGTTTCCCATATTTATTTGATTTAAGGCTTACCTGGAATAATTGCTTAAAATACATCAATCAGGCCCCATCCGCAACTCACTGGTCAGAATGACCAAAGGTCTTGGGTACTTTTAACCAGCACCCAAGTGTTCTGTTCCTCCTCATGGAGGAGGTTTGGAAAACACTGCTTTCAGAGACCAGTGGATTAGGAGCTCTAAAACTTGCAGCAGTTGCCTGCTTTTGTCATTTCCCTGTTTCTGGAAGGACAACTGACCCACATACATCAGGAACTAAATGATTTTAAAAGCACAGAAAAATGATCTCACCATCCTTCTACAGTTTTCTGAAAGGGAAATGTTTTCTTATTTTTAGGGGGTGGTGGTACCAGGACCAGCAATCACCAGCTGCCCAAATACCAAAAAATTATGCTTTCGAAATCTCTTGATGTTGATTTTGCATGTACAGCAGTCAAGCTGCCCTACCTGTGCCGCTCACGGCAGAGGCCCTTTTTTAGGGAAATGTTTTCTTATAAAATACTCAGACTGGCTTTAATCTACAGCCTAGCACAGCTCTTGGCACAGGGTCTTAAATAAATGAACAAGTGGTTAAATAACTCTAAACAGGAGCACCAGAGTGGCTGGTGGAAGGAATCTACAAGCTGAATGTCTGTCTCCCTCAATTCTTGACTTTTGACCTCCTGCTCCAACACAAATTACATTTCATACATCCAACCAGTACAATATACTTTGCTTCAGTGAACTCAACATATGACAAACAATTTAGAAAATGGTTATGTATTGTGCTAAGGGGTTATTTGATTTACAAAAATGATTCACCTGAACAGTGTGTTTCCCAGACTGGCAGCATCAGCATCCCCTGGGAACTTGAAAGAAATGCAGACCTTCGGGTCATCCTGCGCTGCCTGAAGCAGAGACCCTGGGGTGGCGCCTAGCACTCTGAGTCTTGCAGGTGATTCTCCTGCAACTAAAGCTGAGAACTAGTACACCAGAAGAATTCTTTAAATAAGTTCCCCACCTGCTAATGCAAAAAAATGTTCAAGGACACTGTCTCGCTATCCATTAAACAAGGCAATAACCTGTATGGCAAGTTTATTCATTTATTTAATAGTTACGGGCAGCCTCTTGCCACCTTTCCAGTGAATCAGAAATTAAAATGAGGGTGAATCTAGTCAGCCTATAGGTCAAAGTGTCCCTTCTTTGATCTGACAAGTCAGTGTTGGCCGGAATGTCCTGTATCAATGTGCTTTTAGTGGATTGGAAATAACCGCTGATGTCGAAACATCTTGGCTGGCTATCAATCAGCTCGAGGGTGGCAACTCTGAGTGTGGGCCAACCGGAGTGAGCCATGAGAGCTGGGGGCCCCATCGTGACCGTGGTCATTCACCCTTCCGCAGCTCAGCAACAAAGCAGGCCCCCACCCCAGCTGCTGGCCCTGTCCAGGCTGCCATGGATGCTTTTCCTTGTTTCTGAAGTTACTTGTCTCTAGTCTTTGCTGGGATTGCTACAACCTCAGCAACACAGAGAGATCAAACTTCTAATATTCTCCTTTTTCTTTTTAAATACCTACTTTTTAAAAAGTTGAAGATTTTATTTATTTATTTATAGAGAGAGGAAGGGAGGGAGAATGAGAGGGAGAGAAACATCAATGTGTGGTTGCCTCTCACACACCCCCTACTGGGGACCCGGCCCACAACCCAGGCATGAGCCCTGACTTGGAATTGAACTGGTGACCCTTTGTTCACAGGCCGGCATTCAACCCACTGAGCCACACCAACCAGGGCTAATATTCTCCTTTTTCAACGAAGAGTCTCAGCCAGAGGCCAGCTGCAACCCATGAAGTACTGGCTAGAGGATCCCACCATTTATCCACCCAGTTACTGGGGAGCATTAACATTCCTAGTGGCATCTGCACCCCTTCCAAAATTTGGGGACCTCCCATCTTATGAGGCAGAACATTCAGACGTCTCATCACAGAAGATAAAAACACTACTCACTTTTGCAGGCTCCCCTGCAACCAGGCCATGGCTGTGACCCAGGCCCCACCACCTGGACACGCCTGTACCTGCCTTCAACTTCTTCTCTATGCAAATATAATAACCGCATGACATACTCTATTTCCCATTATCTACATCTTCTGATGTTTTATGGTGTGAACCAGCAAAAGTGAGGAGAAACAAGGGGAAAAAGAAAAGGGGAAAAAGGAGTCAGTGAAATTTGTTTAAAATGGATGATTCTGACCAGTTTTTTGCTCAAGATAAAGCAGAAAATCTAATTTCTGAAATTGTAACAATGTACATTCACCTAGCACCTATGGTAAGGGGATAGAACATAATAGAATATGACAAGCTTTAAAACAATTATAAAATGATACATCAAAAAATACTGCAGTATGGCAGTATAACTGAATATTCCCTCATTCAACAAATAACTTAATGTACACCTTAATGCCAGACACTATTCTAGGCGCTGGGGGTACAACAATGAACAAAACAAGACTCTAATTTTGTGGTGTTTCATTCTAGTGGGGAAGAAACCCAATAAATCAATGCATTAACATAGAATATATTACCTGGTGACAAATGCTCTGAAGAAAAATAAGAGCAAATCAGGAGACAGAAAAATGAAGGAGGATGCTACATTATAAAGAGATCAGGAAAGGCCTGTCTGAAGAAGTAACATTTGAAAAGAGACAAGAGGAAGAGTACCCCAGGGAGAGCTGGGGGAAGAATGTTCCTGGCAGAGGGGACTCACTGCGTGCAAAGGCCCCAGGAACAATAGGAGGCCAGTGCGGCTGGAGTGATACAATGAAGGGGAAGTGGTAGCAATGGACTTGGAGATGTAACGGGGAGGAAGGTGACTTAGGACCTTGCAGATCCAATCCCTTGGCTTTTGCTCTGAGTGAGATATGAAGAATGGAGAATTTTGAGCAAAGTTACTTAATCTTCTAGCTTTATTTATTTTTAAAAATTTATTGATTTGAGAGAGAGAGTAACATTGATTTGTTGTTCTATTTACTCATGCATTATTGGTTGACGCCTGCATGTGCGCTGACTGGATATCAAACCCCCAACCTTGGCATAGCAGGACACTGCTCTAACCAACTAAGATACCCTGCCAGGGCTCTTCTGGGCTTTAGAAGGATCACACCCACCCACCCACCCACACACACACACACGTGATATCTGAATAAGGCCTATGGATTGTACCAGTGTTAATTTTCTGAGTTTGAGATTGTGCTATAGTTATGTAAGATGTTGCCATTGGTGGGATGTAAAGGACAGCATAGGAAACACAGTTAATAATATTGCAACAACTATGTATGGTGCTCGTGCAGTTACTTGAAATATCTGGGGGATCATTTTGTAAAGTATATGATTGCCTAGCCAATATGCTGTACACTGGAAACTAAAACAAAATAACATTTAAATGTAAACTGTAATTGAAAAACATAGAGGCTGTGGCAGGGTAGCTCGTTAGTGTATTATCCCAATGTGCCAAGGTTAATGGTTCGATCCCCAGTCAGGGCACATACAAGAATCAATCAATGAATGTATAAATAATTTTATTAACCAATGTCACCCAAAAAATTCAATTAAAAAAATAAAAAGGGAAGAGTAGGGGAGGCAATAAAGATAGAGTAGCCCTTTTTTCTAAGAAGGGAGACTTCACTCCTCTATTGACTTTTCTCTTAAAATAGCAAATAAATAAGTAAGTAAATAAATAAGTAAACCAAATCAATGTTTTTCTTCCTCTCCTCCCTTCCTCTCTCTCTTTCTCTTTAAAATCAATCAATTAAAAATAGATGTTACCATTGGAGGAGACTGAGGGAAGTGTACGTAGATTCCCCTTTCTACTATTTTTGCAACTTTTTGCCAATCTATAATTATGTCAAAATAGAATGTTGAAAGAAGAAGGAGAAGGAAGAGGAGGAAGGAACAGATGTGAGGCAGGACAGAGGTGGGATAAAAAGATTGGAAGACAGAGTAGGACAGGATGTCAAATACAGGAGCCAGCAAAGCGAAGTAAGGTGTGTCTTTCTGGGGAAATAAGTTTTGTATTAGATCTTAAGAAGGTTGGGTTAAAACCACTCCCCCCCCCCCCCCCCGCCTTTTTAGGCATTCAAAAAAGATTACAATGTCTCCCGCTAATGGACTCCTTTAACAAAGCTCATTTTAAAGGAAATATTGCTAATGTGTAGCCTGTAACCTGGAAGCTGGACTTGAAAGTATTTTCCCACCTCTTATTCCCAGTCACAGCCAGGCTGGACTTCATGCTATTTTCCAAATGTGCTCTGAGATGATTCCACCTGAATTTTTTTTCTTTAATTTCTATTTAAGCTTCAAGACCTAACTCAATAGCCATCTCTTCTTTGAGGCCTTCTGATTCTCTCAGCCAAAGGAAATGACTCTTTCCTATAAACTTGCAAATAATTTTATGTTTATATCTCTTTTAACATTTATCAATTCCTTCTTTGGGTTTTGTCACTTATTAAAACAATTTGTTCTCCTCATTAGATTGTAGGAGAGTTTGTGTAGGTCAGAGACTCTGTCTTAAATGTTCTTGCCCTCCCCATGCTAATAGTGTGTGTGAGCTCACTGAATGGTAACTGTCAAATGACTGAATTTCTTCTTTATAATAACCTATATATTTGGAGGTTGGGAGTTACGTTCATTTTGGAGTTGGTGATGTTTTTATGTGATTCACAGTTATTTAATGTATAGGTATTACCACTTCCAGGAATACGCCTTCTATCTCCTCTCCTTGCGGCAAACGCACCCAGTGTTGAAAGATGAAAGAGCAACACACCCTCATTCCTGATACGAGTGTGTCTCACTAGGCCTGGCACCTGAAGTATGTAGGTAGTGGAGGAGAAACGTTGTTTGAAATATATGAAGTCAGAAACTACTCTGTAGAAAATTCTTCTACTCATTAGATTTTAAGATTGTAAGCAGAGGATTTGGTTTTCACTGAGCTTTGTCAAAAAGGAAAATCTCTTTTAGTAGGAATATACTTAATATGCAGGGTATACAATTATAAATGTATCATATTTTAAAAAATTGGATGGAAATCATGCAAAATAGTTTATCAGAATTCTTTTGTCTGTAAAACATAAATTTATAGCAGTTACAATTATTATAGATATTAACTTTTTCTAGTAGACTTTATTTTTTTGAGCAGATTTAGGTTCACAGAAAAAATGAAGTGGCAGGCACAGAGATTTCTCACATGCTCTCTGCCCCTACTCATGCCTACACCCCCTCATTATCAACATCCTCCACCAGAGGGGTGTATTTGCTACGACCGATGAACCTACATTGGTGCATCATTATCACCCGAAGTCCATAGTAAATACTAACTTTTGTATGTAATTTTTTTTTTCTTAATTAGGGGAACTCAATTCTATAAGCTTCAGGACCCAGAAATATTGGCTTTTCAACAAGATGACTTATGTTTTTCCTGAAGTTCTAACCTCTACCAAGGATTTTTTTTT